TGAACACGAGTCCATGGGTTAACTGGGTAGGGGAACTGGGTTCCCGACCCGCATGGTCAAGGGACATACGGCTCACAGTAACATTCTTCGAATGTACTTGGGGGTAAAGGGTGGCTGGAGCGTAAGGCTGACAACCTTACCGCCATGTATGAGCCAATTGTCTAGAAAATGTGGGAACCTCAACATCTCACAACCCTACGGGCCTGTTACAGGGATACCTTTACTTTTTCTTTTACCTTTTACAGAAATCAAATCCACTCATACTGACAAGACAGACAAAAATTACAAACAGACTGTTGAAAATATAAGAAGTATTTGATATTCTGAAAAAAGAATTTTCAAAATTTTAAAACCCTTCTGAAATTATCTGGCATCAAACAAAGTTACCGTGCTCTTCAAAGGAAGAGCAGTTTCTGAACAGCACATTCCAAAAAACCCACAGATGTTTTGGCATAAAAATATACAAACTGTGTTGCCTTCACTGGCTACATATGTGACAAACAAACAGCATACAGGACAAGACTCAACATCTGCACACACAGAACTTATTAGGAAAGTAGAAGGATGAAGTCACAGTTTGTGCATGGATAATTTTGTTTCCTCTACTCTCTTATTCAACAACCTGATAAGGAAAGAATAAACCGCAGGACTGAGAGGCCAAGTAAGAAGGGCATGCCACAAGAAAAGAAAACTGAAACAGGGTGAGATTCAAGAGTACACAAGGAGTGACCAGATGACAGTGGTGTGGAGGGAAGAGAGACATTCCCACGTTGATCAATATGTAAAATCTGGGAACACCATGAAGTCACACACTGTGGAAGAATATAATTATCACATAGGTTACATGGATAAGACAGAGAAGACAGCTAATACCTACTCAATCAGATATTGCATGTGCAATTGGACGAAGAAATTGTTCTTTCTCATCTGTTACATTAGGCTATTCTGAAAAGTTATATTCTTCTTTCTTTATGTGGCGGAAAGGAAATCTCACACCGAGAATTTTCACTTGCTGACAACAGACACATGTGAAGACGAAGGACAGCAGACATCAGAAAAATCACAAGACTGGACTCTAGCAGCAACAAGTACTGGCCCATTCCATCCAATTGGCTGTGATGCCAACTACATTCAGGTCACAGGGTAACAAGAAAAGTCATGTAAAGTGCCAGAAATGTGAAGTTGGCTTATGTGGGGACAAAACTGTTTCCTGGATTGTCACACCAAGACACAGCCGTTAAACTGCTGCAAGAGCAACCTGAAGCCTCCAACTGGAATGAAAGTAAAGGAAACCCAGAATGTAGAAACTTCTATATTCAAGCAATTAAGATATAAACAGAATTCTTTTAAAAAGGCACTGCATAATATCTGCTTTCATTCATTCATCAGTAATCTGTCAGACGACAGGTCCACAGTCTCTTCCAAAACAGTTCCTCCACTTAATGCGCTCGATCCAGAGCTTTCTCCTTCAAACAAAAATATCATTTCAAGCATCATTTGCTCTGTGCTTCAAGTCGCTGCTTCTGGCATCAGTAATATCTGCTTTACCTGCATAAAAACTGCATTTATGATGTTATCACACACTTTTTGTAGAGCCTGTATGAAAATTCAAATGCCCTCAAAGAAATGTTCATAGTGCTGTTCCTGTTATGGCATTTAAACCCCAACTGTTTAAAGACTAGCATCTTCGTAATCTGGTTTGTTCTGTAATTGCCTGTCCCCCAGGACACATGTGGAACTCAGAACCGGTACTCACACTACAATATAAATACACTGACATGTCATACCTGTTGACAGCAGGCCATTGTCACTAACGCTGGTACTATTGACAGTGGCAGACATATCCACCATGTTGCTAGAGAGGGAACTGGGGTTGAGGCGTCGCTGCACAGGTCTTGTAGTGCCAGTATCCTCATTGATTTGCTGCATAGAATGGAAGTCTACAGTGTAGGTCCGGCCTTGCGTAGAGAGACTGATCTCATCCTCCCCGGACTGATGGGAAGCCTGCATTCAAGGAGACAACAGGATGAGCATTTCAAAACGAATTCAAATTCTACTGAGTGAAACGTCCAGATCAGATTATCTGTAAGGTGCCGTTAATTTGCAGATGATATGCCCTGTTCATGATACACGACTGTAGCCCTTCCACACACACACAAGAAACCTTCTACCTTCTGTCTCAATACAACTTCGCAAACCACTTCTGTATCTTCTGTTCATTTCAGATTCAGCATCCATTCAGTATATCAAAACTGCCTCAATTCTGCAGGGAAACTGGAGTAGTAGTCCCTATATACCCTTCCTGTAAGCAGGAATCTCACTTGCCTCCACGCTTATGTACATACAGCTGGTTTGGTCATTTATTTGATAAATTAACAAAATGACAAATTCTCACCTATCTATTACACTTGTCCATAATTTTTTCTTCAAATTACATTTTCCTGTGAAATTATGGTAAGAATACTCACAAATATCGCAATCATGAAGTGCAGCCCAAAAAATGGGCACCTCTAATTCTCTTTGTGGGATGCATCCCGTTGTGTGTCATATAATAGCATTTTATTGGACTGCCTACACAACAATTATATCAATCAACAAATTGATACTAAAACTAGACTTCCAATTGGGGAAATATGATATGAATCTCCTTTCGCATCACCCCATCTTGTAAAGCAAAAGCAGTTGCCAGAAAATTCATGAAGTTCAAGAATGAAAAATCAGTATTTAATTGAGAATTTGCTTTTTGACCTGATCTAAGAAATCTGAGATTGATATACTTAGTCAAATGCCCACAAAAAATATTTCTCATCTTATAGACAGATCAAGCTGACAATTATATCTTTTGCAAGATGGACTATCAGGATTCTTATTCACAGAATTTAGGGAGGAAGGATTACATAACAAAATGCTATAAGATTAAGGCATGCAAAGAGTTTCAGGCAGAACTCACAAAGCCTACTCCCTACTGCATTAGCATCAAGACAAATGTAGGTAGCATGGGCTGGCATGCAGGTATCGTGAAGACGGCTGGGCATAGCGTTTGACTTGGAAATCTTTTTGCAATTGTAAGGATATCACCGACATTCATGTTACTTGCTTCTTTCTGGGATGAACTAGTTAAGCAAGACTACAGATTCTGTCTACTTTAAATTTGCTAAATATAACCACAAATTTCACAGTGCTGCCACATGTGCCAACTGCTGAATAACATTTCATAAATAATAAGCAGGAATGCTTTTATTTACATACAGATTTCACAGAGCCAGCTTCAACATACCTTCGTTCAAGCTATCAAACTGAAACTTATATTAACATTTCATATGTTGCCCTTATTGTATTTCAATGTATAAAACAATTCTCTTTATCAAGTAGAGCATTCTTCGAAAACCTATTACCATACATCACTAGAGAATCTACTCCTAAATGATGAGAAGCGTCACGCCAACTCATGCACGTTTCTATGCTGTTGTTATTGGCTGTGGAAATAATAAAAGTAAGAGGCTGAGAGTGGTCTCCAAGAGCACAAAATTAATAACAAATTTTGTTAATATCAGTCAACTTCTTCAAAGGTTGAAAGGGTACCACAGTATTATAACGTGGATAGCCAGAGCGTTGCTGGGTAAGAGACCAGTAAACATACGCGATACACGCTGGCAACAATGGAACAACGAGGTTATGTAATTGCTTCTAGGCAACGGTTCAATAAACAGACTTCCGTGAAGGCACAATGATGTCACACTGCAACAGTGGGAGCTATCATGTAACTGGGTTTCTATGGAGTCCATGCCTTGACCATTGCTATGCAATTGCTCAGTAAACATGTTCCAACAATATAGGCTGTTTTTTGAGTGGTCAGTGCTAAAGCTATAGGACAGCTACAGGCAGAACAGATTCCAGTATCTGGGAGTGCTGCGGAGTATTTGAGACTGTTTAGGTGACAGCTTCTGTGTACAGATCCATTGCTAGGGGACGACTAGTGGAAGACAGAGAATCCTAGAGCGTGTGCAACGGTGAACTTGAAAGTGTGTAAATCAGATATAGCGCTGTATCTGAGTTTAATTAAGAGATTGTGTGTAACCAAGCTGTTAATAAATCCTATCATCCAAACTAGAACACATCATTTTGTCATGCGTACCCTCTACAAGTGACATATTTGGTGTTAGAGAAGTTGGCGCCTTGGATGCTATTGGATTCTTCAGCAATGGTTACAACCATAAATACTCTATGCAACTACAGTTTGGTATCAGTAGTCACGCTGCCATAAACTTGTGATAAGTAGTGTCAGAAGTAACTGGATCAAACTGATCGAATTGTTGGATTGAAGACTGAATTGCACAGTTACAGCACTGTTCTAAGATATGGAGATGCAAGAAATGCAACAAATAATAAAAATGCTGGCAAAAATGGATGGCAACCAGGTGAAGGCAGACGCCAATACTACAGAAATGAAGGAAATGTATGCCAAGATGAAATCCAACCAAGAACAAATACTGGCCAAAATGGAGTCCAATATGAAGATCGATCGAGAGGAGAAGGCATATCAAGAGAATCTAAAGAGGATGATGGAAGAAATAATGAGCGCGAACCAAGCTAAGACATATGTAAAGTTTAAGGGGCTGAGACAAAAAAATACATCTGGAATGCGAGGAGCCAACCTCATCAGACATGAAGGCCTGCACATCTGACCATAACTGATCCAGTTCACAAGACACACAACTGAGTAACTTGTACCTCAATAATGCGAGAATCAATGCTGCTGTATGGGTGCCACAGCCCACGGTCATCTCTCCACTGCCACTGCACTGTGTCTTGGATACTGCTGTTTGGGCGCTCCAAAAGGGCATCTACTGTAAAGATACCATCTGATGGAAGGCGAGGCATCAGCTCACCAATCAGGCACGTTATTTCATACAGCTCCTGGGGACTGCGTGACACCAGTTCTACCTACATTCAAAATGAGAGCATGCTGTAAACATTTTTAAGCAGTGATTCTAGAATTCTATTAAATTAGCTCAATGCAGAAAGATAGATGGTAGTTTTTGTGAAGAAGTACCCAAAAGTGTGGCAGTATAGCATAGTGTGCTAAGGTTTTACCAAAATCTGAAGAGAATTTAATGGATTCTCTTTAGCTTGTTCAAAGCTGGAAGTCATAAACAAACAAACAAACAAACAAAACCATGTGCCGAATACCTGAGAAGCCTTCTTTTATAAATACCTTAATTGAGAGACTTTGGAAGCAGCACTACAAGTGAATGGGAGAGTATAAAGAGCCCACTTTACTATGAGATTAATTTGCTGCTCTGTTCTTTGGGAATTAATAAACGGACCAGGTTACAAGAAATAACACAAATGGGTTTCACGATCAAGAGATGGTTCATTGATTATTCAATCAAACTGGCTCTGAATATGTTAAAGGCTATGTATGGATTCTGCTGGCAGCAACCCTCTTACTCGCCATCTTTTCAAATTTCACTTTCATCGCTGACCAATACTTTATCCAGTTTCTTGTTGTTTTATGAACAGTAAACAGTTCCAGTTCATGGAACTGCTAGAGAAAATGTAACCATGAGAGTGCTGAGAGAACATGAACACAATATCCTCTGCTCCTTAAACAGATGAGTGGTGAAAATGTCATAGAAGTACACAACAGAGTAAAAATACTACATAACTGGAAGTATGTCACCATACAAACATCAAGACCAAACAATACCTCATCCACATTGGCATCTCCAGAGCCAGTGAGAAGGTAACACAGAGTTTCAGCAATGTTCTGTCGGAGCAGCATCAAGGCCAGATCAGGACAACTGGCACACATCACAGATAACATTCGCAGAACAGTGATGAATGTTCCTGTGCTGATTACTGGTGGAGACACAACCAGCTGCAAACATCCAAAATGTGCGTCACTTAAGAGCTACAAAAAAAGACTAATAATGTTCCTATATTCCATGAATAATACAGTGAAACGCCACCATATTTACTTTGCAATTTACACACCCTTTAAAGAATAACAACAAAAAAAAGTCTGGAAGTTGTGGCACATAAAATTGTGACTACAACATTTGGATTATAATTATTCAAGTCAGACTGAGGTCAGAGAAATTGTGGCTGCATAATATTGAGAAAACGATTAGTTCTGTGAGGAAGGTGGACAAATTTTGTTCCGATGTGTGTAATTTATAATACAAGGTGGTTCAAATGTGACTGGGACTGATTTGTGTGTAAAAAAGCTGCACTGTGCAGCAGTTGTGCGACCTTGAGAGAGTGAAGCCACAACCTCCACCCTCCCTCCTGTTCGGGTCATAATCTGTTCAGTCCTGTCTGGGAGTTGTTAGAGTGATGAGCGAACACAAGGTACCGCGGAGCATGGAACAACGCATTGTGATCAAATTCCTTGTTGGAGAAAACATCCCATCCACTGCAATTCACCACAGACTCCAACAACAGTTTGGGGAAGAGTGTCTCTCATGGACCCGTGTATTTGAGTGGTGTAAGTGCTTCAGGCAGGGCAGAGAGCACGTGGAGAATGAACCGCATGATCAATGGCCATGAACATCCGTCATCAAGCCAAACACTGATCATGCGCTTATTCGTGAGAACAGGCGCATCACTATCAAGGAACTTGGAGTAATGCTGTCCATCAGTGTTGGTAGTGTAGAAGACATCGTGAAATACCACCTGCAATATCGCAAGGTGAATGCATGGTGGGTACCACACACTTTGACGAACATGAACAAAATGGTGTGCATGCAAGCTGCCAGTCATCACCTATAGCAGTTTGAAGACGAAGGTGATGCATTTTTGAAGTCTATAGTTCGATGAAACGTGGGTGCACTACTTCATTCCCACCAGTTCTCCCAAACCCAAGAGAGTGCGGAGGAGCCGTTTGGCAGGAAAACTGATGGCAACTTTCTTCTGGGACTGGCAGGGGGTTATCCATGTAGACTTTCTGACAGATGCCATAACAGTCAATGCAGCTTATTACTCAGACCTCCTGGCAACAGATGTGAAGGAAAAGGTCCGATCCAAGTGGAAGACAGGTGGAAAGCAGGTAGCCTTCCTTCAAGACAATGTACGCCCCCATACGGCCAAAACAACAATGGAAACTTTCTGGAAATTTAAATGGAACTTTCTGACACATCCGCCATACAGTCCCAATTTGGCCCCAAGAGATTTCTACCTGTTCGGAAGGCTCAAATCAGACTTGCAAGGCACGCGGTTTGTGGACGACACCGTCATCCAGACTGTTCGGGAGTAGACATGCCAACCACAAGCCTTTTTTGAAAAGGGCATCAGGATGCTTCCAGAACGTTGGAAAAAATGTGTTGACTCTGGAGGGGAGTACGTTGAAGGCTGACATGTGCAAGTAAGTAAGCAATTATGGTTTTTAAAAAAAAAATCAGTCCCAGTCATATTGGAACCACCTTGTAATTATTCTGAACCCAGCTGCCTAGCTGCCATGTTGTCCTGGGATCAACATCAAGAATGAAAAACAGTACCACAGTAACAAATGTGCAATGTGTAAAGACCTTTATCAAGGAGGCATACTGAGCTGACTACCCCCTGTAAGACTGCTAATCTTGGGAGACAGAAGGAGACCATGAATGAGGGCCACAGTTATGGATAGCAATGTGATACAAGCAGGGAAGAGTAACAATTACTTTAGCATTATGAAGGTACTATGGGCACATGCAAAAATCTTGCAGGCTACACAGGGGCAGATTTGATCTGAAAATCAGACAAATGTAAATACTTGTACTCTAAAATCTGCAGTACCAATCTCAGGAGATTTGTTATAGCTAATGAGAAAATAGCTGGTTGCAACTAACCCGGAATTCTTTGTTTTTTCTTTACATATTGTGACGTGCGCTTGGAAGATGAACAGAACATCGGGCAGGAAGATGTTGCAAGCAGGAACCCTCGGAAATGAAAGAAAGGGAAATACTGTTAGACTGTTCAGGACAAACAGCCTTAAGAAGGGAGCAATGTGATGTGCTGACTGAAAACCAGACTATAGGACATCCATCACTGTGCAACGGGCAATGAGAACGAATGCTACCTAGGAAACTGCCTACCCAACAGAAACAGAATTGCTGAATTCCTGTGGCAACGATATTCCAGCTAACAGCGAAACTGAACCTTTCAACAAGGTGGCCTCTATTCCATCTGAGCATAGGATACAAGCGAAGAAGAATTCAGAGGACCAGTCAGTTCGTATCTGACTAGAGCAGGAGTCAGTGCAGGTTCAAAGAATGCGGAGCCAAGACGCTCCACTGGATTAGAGGTGCATGTGTAACGGTTTAACAGGAAGCGTCTGAAGGCATTATAAGTCCAACTGATTGTATTAGTGAGTGTAAAAATGATTGCCCAATAAACATATTCACCCAAATTTGAGACCCACACAATTTCTTGTTGTGTTGCCTAGGAAACGCGACAATACGAAACAAAGTATTATATTTTATTAATGTTTAAAATGTAGTTAATAGAAGCATCAGCACTGGCGTGAAATGTGTTACATTTGGTTCTACCTTCCCATTTCAGCTTCAGTAAAAACACACAGCTCCTCACATGCGGGGTAAAACTGAAATAGGAGCAATGGCTCCAGTTCCAGCTGCTCGCTCACAACAAATGTGCGCTCTATAACGTGACTCTGGATTCCATCTTTATTCTGATCATACTTCGGTAGTCCCTTATGCTGACATCCTGCTTACCATTGGATGTTTCTGACTGCAAGCTTTTCAGTACAAAGTGTCCCTCATTTCCCTTCCACCCTGTCTGGCTACCTGCCTGCAGACAAAAGCAGCAGTCCTCATGCCCTTGTTCCAAGAGTTGAGGAAGAGTAAACATTTGCATGGGACCGCGCCATAGCTCAAGCGGTTAGTTGCTGGCTTCCCACCACGGCGGCCCGGGTTCTATCCCGGGTCTGGTCAAGTGGGATTTGTGGTGGACAAAGTGGCACTGGGGCAGGTTTTCTCCGAGTACTTTGGTTTCCCCTGCCAATCTTCATTCCACCAATTGCTCCACAATCACCCTCACCTGTCATCTGGGGTTGGTACAATAGGCCAGACGTGGCCACAGTGCGACTTAGTACCACCCCACTAGCAATAAAAAAAAATTGCATGCGCTAGATCTGACTTAACCAAATAATTTGGGTTAAGAATGCAGTACTTAATTTCTGTTCCTGAAATTTGTCTATAAACTTAGGCACAAGTAACAGTAGCTGACAGATTATAATGGTTCACAATATAAAATTGTGCTCTTTCAACCCCATGAATGTTACTAAAGGAATACTCTGTCACCAATTTGACAGCACTTTAGTTTTCCAACATCTTCTAGTGGTTATGCATGTTCTGTGCAGATGACAATAAAGATCAGTGAGGGACTATACAAAAAGATATGAGTTTGCTCTAGTTCCATCATTATTCATCAGAACAGTATTGGTTTCAATCTAGTAGCAAAGGTAAAAATGACAGTGTGACACTTGTTTAAGTATGTATATCACATACGAGTCAGGACAGTGTTGAGTGAGAAGCTGGATATTATGGAGTTGTTCAATGACCATTTGACAATAGTACACCTGTATTCCAAATTTGTTTAGTACTTCTCCGAAAATATTTTCTGCAAATTTTTCACAAACATTCCTCCTGTTTAGTCAATTATAAATACGAACATCCACAGCCAAACAATAGTGACAACCCATAAAACGGTTAAGTTTACAGAATATGAAGGTAATGTGGAAGCTATATGTAATAATACAAATGCCATCGTGAATGCAACATTTATTTGGTTGTAGTTGTTTGTCTTTTCTTCCTCTACACTACATGTTTTGGCGGTAATTGGCCATAATCAGGTGTATTTTTCTCTACGTAGCTGTCACACTGCACACAGTCCAAAATTTAAAACATCAGCCAGTCAGTTTTGTTTAAAATCTCGCCAACATACACTCGTCAATTTGATTTTAGAATTCCAGTTTAAAATTTAAAGTTTTAAATACCAGGGACACCTGCTCTTGTCTACATGTGCTGCAGCGGCTATTTCTTGTTTTCAGCACCGTTCATGTATTATTCTGTGCAGGCTCCCTGTGTGTGTGTCGCTTGCAAAAGTATTAAAGATGAGCAGCGACACACACACTGCCAACTCTGCCTAATATCTAATCACCAAGCATTACTGAGCACTGCTAAATGCTGAAACTTGTCTGACTTATGTAAGTGTCCACTTCCTGTATATATGCACTATATATATATATATATGACAGAAAAGATGTCTGGTAGTGTCTTCAAAATTGCTCTTCTTAGGTAGGGTACATTTCTAAGTGGGAAAAGTCTTAAGCACAACATAAATACTTTATGTAAGATTTGAGGCTTTCACGGCGGTGACTATGAAGAAAGCAGTCTTCTGCACATATACACGGTGCCAAATCCCAGAAGACTGCTTTCTTCATAAATACTTTATTCTTGTGGTATTACTTTTGGGAGCCAATAATTTTAACTCTGTAGGCAGGAGTAAATTTTAAACAGGATCTTATGCAGGGCCCACTGTACTGCAAACAAGATGATATCACAGGTGCACTACATGCTCAAATAATGATTAGTTTTCAGTGCCACTGAGAATAACAGTCATATAGTTGAAGAAATTACCTAAGAAGGTGAAGACCATTTTCTGTGGTGAAAGAAACTAAATAATATGGTACTTGCAATATTTTAGCATATAATTATTTCATTTGCACAATCTTAATATGCACACCGTGAAGTGTCACATGAGGAAAAAAACGACAATCATATAGGTTCACCCACTCAGGCATCGTGTGCCCACNATAGGATTCTGACGATGGTGTATAACACACAGAGATACTGGGTTTTCGGACTTTATCCATCGTCCTGGTTCTTTTAAGATAACTAAGAAAAACACGATGTTTCGGAAACTGGATCTTTTTCCGTCCTCAGGTGACGGAAAAATACCTATTCTGTTGGATCCATTAGAAAGAACTAGCCTCAATCACTGGACCAAATTGAGTGATTGAGGCTAGCTCTTTCTAAGGGACCCAACTGAATAGGTGTTTTCCTTCACCTGAGGACGGAAACAGATCCAGTTTCCGAAACGTCGTGTTTTTATTTGTTATCTTAAAAACCAGGACGATGGATAAAGTCCAAAAACCCAACATATCAAGGAGTTATTCGTATGAAGAAAAATCAACGTCTAACATTCAAAATATTACTGCATGGAACTTCATCACAATATACCAGCAAAGAAGACATTACACACCAGTTGCTGCAGATTAGTTAAGAGTCCAGGGCTGGCAATTTCTTGGAGTTTGCTGGGGTCATTCTGAAAACTGTCTACAAGTCGACTGAAGGCAAGACACACGCTCTCAACGCTCTTCTTATCCTGCTGTGTAAGCCGGTTTGCCAGAAGAGACAGTGAATCAGCCACAAAGTGGAATTCATCTGCATGAAGATTCTGGCAGCAATTGGATGTGATGGCCAATGCTGCACGCTGAGCATTGATACTGAAGAAGTCCAGGTACATAAGGCAGGCTGCAACTCCACGCTGAAATAATGTATGTACATTAATTTCTTATATATCACAAAAATGGAATGAACCAGGAGTTTGGGTTAGAAACCATAAAGCCTGTGTTCCTACTGCAAAGACTTCGTTTGTAGTCCCACACATCCTGTGCTGTTAAATACATAATCCAACCATGAAATTTAATTCTGTTCATCAATTTCAAGAAAAGGCAAGTCCTTATTGCTTGCAACTGTAAATACATTACAGATTATTACCACCACTGCCACTCAGTTTCATAAATTATAACTAAGATATTAATACTTTTATCAGGTAAACTGTGGAAATGTTACAAATATAGTTCTTCAAGAATTACAGTATCAGTGAAACAACTGGCAACTTATGTTTCGTGACCCACTACATTTCAGGAAAAATGTCACCTTCTTAGTGTGATCCTTTTACAACTATGCAATAAGTAACCTCCTTACGTATATAATATATTAACCCGTTGCCGTGGTTCGTCGTGTATGTTTCGTCAGGGATTTAAATCGTCTGGGGGGGTTCGACGTGTATGTTTCGTCCAGCTGCACACGTATGTTATAACGCCCATAATAATTGATGGTTTTGCTGTAGATTGTTAGATTTTTCACTGGCCTGTTGTNCATATTATAAGGTAAGGTTATAAAACCACCATTTAAGATCATTTTAGTGAAAGTTTCATCCTTCAAGGCGTACCATTCACTGCTGAAATACTAAACAACCTGCTTCCATGGCCGAGATACAGGGCGCCCATATTATAAGGTAAGGTTATAAAACCACCATTTAAGATCATTTTAGTGAAAGTTTCATGTTCCTATCTCATAGAATTTAAGAACAATGATGAATAAATAATTTTCGAGCAAAATTTAAATGGCCGGCTGAATATATTACCGCAGGAGCCACGGCCGCGGAATTTAAATGACCACGTCAAAGGGTTAATAACTTCTATTGAGTTCTCTGAAACAAAAAAAAAAAATTATGAAATTCAGTGCCCTCCTCCCTTAGAGATGTGAAATTGTCCTGCTCATGCAAGCTGGGTGTAGAGCCTACTTCTAACAAACTTCATGGAGCTGAGCCCTTCTTGAGAAGCTGCCAAGTGTGATTACTCAAGAACTTCCCAGGATTTTATGGAACCCAAAGGTTCATCACTGTGTTCACAAGAGGTCTCCACTGGTCCCTGAGCCAGATCAATCTAGTTCATACCACCCCCATCCAATCACCATTTTAACACTGTCCCCCTTCCTACGTCTTGGTGTTCTTAGTGGTCTTTCCTTCTGGTTTTCCCACCAATATCCTATATGCATTCTTATTCTCCATTTGTGCTACATGCCCTGCCCATCTCACCCCCCATGACTTGGATCATTCTATATTTGGTGAAGAGTACAACTTATTGAAGCTCCTCATTTTGCAGTTTTCTCCAATTTCACATCACTTCATCTCTCTTCAGTCCAAATATTCTCTTCACCACCCTGTTCTCAAACACTCTCTCTATTCCTCCCTTAATGTCAGGGACCAAGTTTCACACCCATACAGAACATCAGGCAAAATTATAGTTTCGTATATTCAAATTTTTGTGTTTTTAGACAGCAGACAAGAAGACAAAAGTTTCCAGACTGAATGGTAGCAAGCATTACCCGAGTTCAATCTCCTCTTATTTTCTTCTTGAATCAAGTTTTGATCTGGTACTGTCATTACCAAATATCTGAAGTGTCACATTTTCAAAACATCTGTTAGCTATATTTATGCCATGATTTTGCCTTGCATTCTGGTGACATGACAGCAACATGTACTTAGGTATGATGTGCGAACATCATACTTTAACCCTTTACGGTGGTTTGACGTTTGTCGTACCGTGGTATTTAAATGCCCCTGTCTGTGGTTTCACGTACTGTGTACGTTAAGCTGTAAGCTAAGTTTCGAAATGGCATAAGAATTGAAAGGATCACGCTAGAATTATGCAGTTTGGACTCCCCTGTTATGGAGAGAACGCAGTCGCTGAATGTACGCATGCAACTGCACCTCCTATGCCAGGAAGTCTAAAAATAAACTCGTGACTCACAGTGGTATCAACGCTGACTATAATTTACACATTCCAAACACATGATATGGTTTAGTGGTTAGGAAAGCTAAGAACAAACAGCGCCAGCGGTTGTTTGTGAAACGTGTTGAAAGGAACTGTCCTTTCAGTGGGTGCGTGTTTACTTGAACGAAAGAAGGGTCTATGTCGTCTAAAAAA